CCCAACCCACCCCACCCCAACCCACAATACAAAGAAGAACAAGAATCAAAACTAAAGGATGCATGTGTTTACATGTCCGTTATCAATGATTTTCTTTGTCCCTATTGCTTCGTTTTGCTGTGAAAACTGTAGTATATATGTGTATTGACCATTGAGTATATATTTATTGTTATCGTGGTTAATGAATGTGAGATTTTACCGTTAACATGACTCACAAGATGGTCGATCACTCGATGATATCAATCTTCAAAATTCGTTGATTTGTATAAAATTTGTAAGGATAGAATTAATGTTAGTTTGAAAGTTTTGACCTGGCCTTGATATCACGTTATATATTGAGGTTAATTTATTCATTTTTAAGAGGAGTTCTGGCTCTTGGTAATTTTTTTCTAGATTTTAAGATGGTCAAATTTAATTTTCACCTACACATTATTTCATTCAATTGACAACTATTATCCACTTTCTAACCCTACATTTTATGGAATTCACAACCGTATAATCTCAAAAAATTGTGTCAAATAGGGAATTGATGTTTCACCATAAAATTATTTAGTTTTATTCTGCATGATCGAGATATGTGCAGTGGCAGAATCAGTACCTGGCTAGTCATGGTGGCCACCCGTTTTCGATCCGACGAAATTTTTTTGTTCCCCATATGTTGGGCAATCAACAGTCGAGTTTCCGTCCTAGTTCACCATCTTATAATCTCATTTGTTCATATGTTAATAATGTTGTAGTTCCATACCATAAAAATATTTTATTTTTTGTACAACGGGCAAGGTAGTCAATATTTGAGTGCTTTGACATCACGAGCATAATAATCATTTAGAACGTAAATTTGGAAAGACCATATATAAACAATTGCACAAGTAAATATTTGAGTTTGTGAAAGAAGTACAATGTTTCAATCTATAGATAATATTAATTAAGTAGAATTAATATTGGAGATGTACAATCATTCTGTTGCAAGTAATTAATTAATGAACAAAGCATAAAGTAATAATTTTAAATTCCACTAATTATTTATTTAAAGGTGATTTAGTAGGATTAAACCTTTAATTATATACATAAAAAGATATATTTATTCATTTGTTTAATCACACTGCTTGATAACTATGTGAATTCATTGTGATTATATATGTGTTGCATGACCCCTTTTATTTGTTTTTAAACTGACATTTTTTTATATAGTATGAAGTGAGCTGAAGAAATATCTGTCTGTAATAACAAACTATAGGCCTTTTTCCCATTTTGAGGTGGATTGCATGTTATATTTCTTATCATATAGTACAAAAACATTCTGATATGTAAACATTCAACAGGTTATATCCTAGGATATGTTTCAGAAAATGTTGCATGATTTCTTAAATATATAGAGCGCACATGTTGTTTTTGAGATTTTAAAGTTGATGGAATCAAAGAATAGAAGTAGGCTATAGTTTGTATTTCTAAATCCAATCATGTTTAGTCTAATTTATCGAACATACTAATAACACTCTTTATATAGACTGTATCTGGTTCTGATTTTTTGCAGATTAAAATTACAAAATTGAGCTTTACCTTATCCATGAGGGCCCCACATGAGAGAGAGGCAGCCAACTATTATTGCTGAAACCTATGGCACCGGTCAGATAATGAGTAAAAATCAGATAAAAAATTAGAAACAGACATTCATAATCTTCTTTGAATAATTCCAATTTCACCGCAAAACGATGATAAAGTAATTTTATGCAAGATTCTTTTTCTCTCTTTGTTTCTTTAGTTTTAGTTATACGAGTTAGTATACGTAATGCACAAGGAACTTCTATTTAATTTTAGGCAAAAAAATTATTTATAAGAGAGAAAAGGTGAATCACATAGGGAGTTCATTTATGTTGACAAGAAATTTTACTAAAATTACCTGAAGAAAATATAAAAGAGTATTAAGTAAAACATCTATATTCCCCAGAAGAACAATAAAAATTGAAAGCTGGAAGTGTCTAAATTTGGAGGTGACAAATAGAGACATGTCTAAATTCAAAGAGGCTATTGATCCACGTTTCGTCCGTTCAAACATTACTTTCAAAACCTAGGATTCTCTGCAGCAAACATAAATAACTCTCACACAAGAAATAAGGAACAGATCCAGGGACATGTCGCATCGACCGACACATATTTAAAAACCTAGTAAACAAGCAATGCACAAACATGTTTGATGTTTCTTTTTTTTAGAAAGCTCTAAGCCCTTGTTTGGCTTCATTCTCTATAACTTATTTTTAATTACATATTTTGTGAGATTCATAACTTTATTAACGCATTTCATCGACTTTTATCAAAATCTACTAAAAAAATAATTTTTAACTAGACCAAACGGCTAAATCCTTAATGTTATTAAATGACATCAATCCTATCCACCTCTAGGGTTCATTTACAAAGTTGCAGCTCGGGAATTAAGTAGAGCTGGACAGCAAGATATAGTCACCTAGTTCTATCTTCAATTCAGCTTAGCTATCACGTAGCTAGGGTCATTAGATTGGTGTTGTAACTAGTCGTGCTAAATACTAAGCCCCTGTTTGGTATAAATTGAAATCTAGATTTTAATCTAAGTAAAAATCAGCAATTAATTTCAATCACATATTTTATAGATTTCACAACTTTTCAACTATACATTTCATCAATTTCTATTAAAATCTAATTTTAATCTCCATTAAACGCAACTAACTGTTTTATCTATGACTTACCAAGCACAGAGCCCTGAGCCGAAAGGATAGATTCTGTTGGGGGCTAAGTCTATGTTTGACCCCCAATTTTTTAAAAACCCATTTTCAACTACTCATCCCTTTATAAAATAATTTTACAAGTAAATCGAAACACATTCTAAAACACATTTTCTTACAAGAATGGAGCTCAAACATGGCTAAATAGCATTATATGTTGTGACTTTATGAAACTTTATAAAACTAGAAAATCTAATTGATTAATTTTCAAGATCTTCCATATCAAATCACAAAAAAAATTAATAATGCGGAACATACTTTAATTTTTTGGGAATGATTCTTTATTACTGGATCTTGATTCCAGATCTTAAATCTCGATAATTGGTTCTTTTGGTTCTTGAGTTATTGATTTTGATTTTGGCTTCTTACTCCATAATTTTGATTGTCTTTTTTTTTTTTTTTTCAATTTAATTGATCTAATCCTTCTTCTTGATTCTTTTTTTTTTCAATCATTGTCTTGATTGTGGATTTTGGATATTCCTCTTTAATATGATTTCTCTTGTATTCTTATGTTAATGAGTTGACACAAAGAATGAGAAGTTTCATATGAATGAGGATCATAACCTTATTTATCGATTCCATATGTATTTGACGACCCTAATGAGTCTGATATCTACACATATAATCCGACACATACTTTATTTAGATGCTTTAAACTCAACAATCTAATTCTTTGTTAGATCAATTTAATTAGGCTCAACTTTAAGATAACTTTATATACAATTAATTACATATATGTAGATTTACATGACAAATTAATAAACCCAACATTATACACTCCTTGCCTATCCACCCCACGCATCAACCCCTCACCCCCAACAATTTCAGGATTCCGCACCCTATGTTACACAACACGAGCGGTACCTTTGCATAAAAGTCATGAAAATACATACAACTAATTAGCCACCACAACCGCCTTTCTTTAACACACATAGACAACAGACAAGAAAAAAAAAAAGAAATTTAGCAAAAAGTGTCAGGTAGCAGTGACATTGCAATTTCACTTAAGAATTGGATTAACTTTTTTGGTGTGTATAATCTAAGTCGCTTTTATGAAGATNAAAAAAAAAAGAAATTTAGCAAAAAGGGTCAGGTAGCAGTGACATTGCACTTTCACTTAAGAATTGGATCACTTTTTTGGTGTGTCTAATCTAAGTCGCTTTTAAGAAGATTTGCCAGTCCCTTCATGGGATTCTATTATTTTTTGTCGATATCAGATTTCACCATCATATCATCATCCTCTCTATTCTTTTCAATTTTCACTTTTTTTTTTTCTCTCTTTTTGGAGGATTTTTAATTATTACATGCAGTTGATTTACGAGTGGAACTCATATGCAAGGATGTTTATCTTCATATTTTATTACTAGTGCATCTTTTCAATAACTGCAAATTTTGCACTGTTCAAGTATTCTACATGTATATCAATCCAGACAAGCTCAAATAAGGCTTCACAAATTTACTTTTAATTCTCAAGATAGTTATCTCTTTACAGAGTTTGATGCCATTTTCTAGGCACTTTTTAGAATTAACGGAGTAATTTTCAAGATTGTTGACATTAATTGAAGTCGACTCACCTCAACGCGTTTCGTGTGCATTATTAGTTTAGACCTTTCTCTCTAGACATAATAAATTATTTAAAGGGAAATGC